TTCTACTCTCATTGGTCCACAGATTATCAACAGCCGATCGTTTATCAACTTTATCGCCAATCGTAGACAGAAATGAAGAATTATTAGAGTTGGATGTACCTCTTGAAGACATCGGTATGTTAAAATTGTCATGGTACTGAGCCAAGTGGGGATTAGGWTTGCTATCCGCCCTTCAAAAATATAGAAATATTATGATGTAAATAGATAAAAGTTAACTGACTGAATGGAATCATTTACTCTGAAGAAACCTGCGTTCATGCATCTGAAAGAAATTCTATTTTCCGAATTTCTAAAAATCTATCTAATATTTTGTCTTGAGTTACGTGCCTCATTGAACTAAACATGTTATCCATCCATTTATCTACCTGTTTATAAAACTTTACGCACACTAGAGGAACATTTAAGTATGGATGGAAGCGACCAAGACAAGTTTCCACGTGATGGAACCTACGGGACCTTGAGGTATGTTGATGAATGTCAATATTTTCTCATAMTTTGTAGATATATTTTTACCTAAAAAAATTCGTCGATTTTTATATTGAAAAATATATGAAACAGTTGAAAATAGTATAACAAGAACAAACTGTAAACTAAATTTGTAAGGTGGCTCGATTCGATACCTTCGACGTTTCAATCGCAGTGCCAGGGACCACACGGAGCAGGGGGAGCTGGGGGGCTACAGACCTCCCAATAATTTTTCCGCCATTTTGAATTTTCTTAAATAAAGAAGCGAAAAGCCGCCTCCTTATGAAATTTCACCATATGTATTGTATAGAGATTGTGTAAAAACTAAGCGTGAATAATGTAACTATTTCTGTTCCAGAATGATCCAGCAAGCACTAGGTCACTATTCAAACGTCGATTTATGCTCGATAATCCCATTAACTACACTAAGAAAGCAAGCCGCGAAAATCTTCTATAATGTGATAGGTTAGTAGAAAACTTGATTACTGCGTTGACGGCAAGAATTTTCCAATTCTACTTTTTCTTAGCCGTAATCATGCATGTGCTGCAGCTTCAAACTAATTGACTCTTCCCTATCATAAATCACATCGTGCAGCAGTCATTTTTTCMCTGCGCCATCTTAAAACCGTCTTCTTCGCCAAAATGAAATACCAATGAGCTTCCAACACTACTCCGTCTCGGATACSTTACGAGAAGGCGTAGGGGAATGTTTGTAGATGCAAGAACTTTTCACCTCAAAACTCCAGTATTTTTCTCTTGTCATTTTAGCGCTAGCCAATATGGGTGTTGTGTATCTTGTGCAAGACCGTCCTTACGAAGAAATCGTCATCGGACGCGGGAGACAGTACTAAGCCATTGTCATTTGGTGTTCACCTTTTTATCCATGGAATTCTAAATTATAATTTACAACGAATTTTATCTGAATATTAACAGACTGAGCACATTTTATAACTTATTTTTTTACAACGCTCACATTAAATTTTTACTAAAATATTCATTCATCGCCTGGTCAGATTAAAATGAGATGRTCACGCATTTTGTAGAAGGATCGAAAAACGGGCATGCCTTAGAGTGGGTTGCTAAACATTCGTCTGGTACTGTGCTACCTACCAAACATTTACGCATGCATTTATTTATTGTCATCAAAATGGTAAATTATTCACAATATTAACAAAATATTAACTGAAATTTTCAGTATTTGATAAATAGTGTATTTATTGAGAAACATCATACATTTACGATGTGTTATTAAAACTGATTTTCATCTTCGCAGAGAATCTACTTTGTTTTATATATCATTTTCTAAAATTTTTGATATATAACGCGCGCTCTGATTGGCTGACGATCGTGTTTATATCAGAGGACAGAGACACGGCTTACCGGCAAAATTTTATTTTCGCTCGCTACGCTCGTGTTCCTAAGCTTGCTTCTCTCGTGTTTTTCGAACTCCCACCGTGTTTAAATCAGAGGACAGAGACACGCGCGCCGTTTTATATTTCYTAAATAATTCAGTAATCAAGCCAACCCCAAGGCCAGAGTAGATTAGCAACGCTTTTATTATAAAATCACGCACTTAAATTAGTATATACAATACGTTGACTACGCTTACTGAATTGTAAAACTGCAAATCTCTCCCTAACATGTACAACTTTTTAACAAAACCCCTCGTGGGACAAARCCCGAGCCAATGCCGTCCCCATTTCCTTTATGCAATTGGAAATTTGGTAGACCTTGAATGAAAGTGTTATGAAGGCCATAGGAACGAAAGAACAGACAAAGCTCGGATACTACAATTTCGAGTTCTGGTTTGYTCTGTGTTAGCCTCAAAACCAAGTATCATATTCTTTTGTTTCATTGATAGCTCGAGAAAAAGCATGGAATTCGAAAAGAAAGAGAATAGAATTGAATTGAAATCTCACACTTTTATTCTCGCAATTAGGAATATTTTGCGCACAAATGAGGCTAACACAGAGCATTGGAGAATTCGAAACTGGATTATTCATGTTTCACATCACACTATCGTCGCGCCAAACTTGATAAAGGGTAARGTTTTTCAACAAATATTTGAAAGTATGGTAAACGTAAGTCATAAAATCAATGCACTGTCAAACGGAAAAATCCAAATTTCGAACTCCATTGTCAAGAGCCACGTATAAAGACGTTCTGTCAAACTGAAGCGAGTAAACAGGACTCTGGGAAGAACGACCAGCGTAGAACGACTAAAAGTAAAGRATACATATTAATTTAGTAATCGCTTGCCTTTTAGTGTCATCACTTAGGTAGCCAAGCCCACGTTTTCTCATCACGTAACCTGTCACGGAACAGTTGTGCGAAGGGCTATCCACTGCATAAATTCTTACTTGAATAGCTTATCCATATTTCTGCAGMCGGCCCTAGTTTAAATTTGTGAAAGGTTGCACAGGCAAAAGTGGGCACACGAAATTAGGCCCCATTTATAATGTGAAAACGTTGTCTTGGCTAGAAGGGTAACATCGTGGTTTACATAGACAAATAGTCGGTCATTCAATTAGTTGGTCATCTCTGTCTCTGGTCATTCAAACTGATTTAGTAACTGGCTTTTTGACGACGCTTCTTTAGTGGAAACYTCTAAACGAGTAAAAGGTTTTCCATGATTTTAAAGGGGACCTCABACAAGAATTGATATCGTCGTTAAATCTGAAATTAAACAGTCAATGACAACAAGAAGGAAACCTTTCAAATCAATACTAGTATTTTGTCATCAACATCATGTCCAGTGCCAATAGTGTCACAACCATGAAAATGCTTGTCTATCATATTCAACCGATTATATACCACCAAATCATCAACTCCAAATCAAAAATGAATAAATTGGAGTAGATTATCACCATTACTGACAATTCGATTTAGTTGTTTTATAAACTTCTCTACAGTACTATGCAAAGAGACAGGACATTCGACACATTCTTTCGAGAAAAAAGGAGGCACCGAGAGAGTTACCGTCTCTCTCCCTCTCGCGTAGGGAAGAACACCAGATGACCGGGATGAAAACCCTCAAAGTGATGTCCTGGTCGATTCACAGGTGACAGTCAGGTACCCTCACCCCTCAGCCACCCATGTTTTACCCAGACTCGATCATCACATTTYCCGCCCCATCATCACAACAATTCAAATTTATGTTATGATTTTCTTGGACATTTACACACACAAAAATTTATATAGAAACCTATTTTTAGTTACCCTTAAACTCTTTCTGGCACGCTTGTCCCATACTCTTACCTAAAAAAAGACRCCACATTTTAACAATGGTTAGTAGTCATTTTTATCCGTCTGTGAAACATATATTACTAGTCAGTGTTTAATCGTACTTCTAGATTTCCAACATCCAGAAATTGTTATAATTTAAAAAAAAAAAAAAAAGCTAAAAAAAATGCGAAAACAGTGATTATGCATAACTTCTACCGAACATGTGCATTTGCCACAATTGAAAGAATTTTGATCCCACAGGTAAGAACAAGAACGGCTAGTCTATGCTATACTCCATGTCTGCACATTGGTTCAAACTGATTCAAAACCTAGGTCAAACTGATTCAAAAACCTAGGTCTATGATGCGACATTAACTGTTAGTGTTGGGTTGTGATAAACGCGCTGATGACCTTGAACATCAGTTCTTTAAATCTGATATAAAAC